CTGCATCCTTCATCCGGTTCAGCAAATCTCTGTTAAAGACTTTCCCTGGTACTGACAGTGGTGTGATTCCTCTGTAGTTTTCATATTTGCTCAGATCTCCTTTCTTTGGAATCTTGATGAGGTGTCCTACTTTCCAGTCCATCGGCACTTGTTCCTCCTCCCAAATCTTTTTGAATAGAAGGTAAAGCATGTTCGTAGTTAATTCAATGTCTGACTTCAGTGCTTCAGCTGGTATATTGTCGGGTCCTGCTGGTTTCATGCTCTTGATTTGTTTGATGGCCATTCTAATTTATTCTGTCGTTGGTGGATTGACATCTATAGGAAGATCTGTGTGCGCTGCTTCGATGTACGGTGAATTCATTAGAGCCGGCCTATTCAGGAGTTCCTCGAAGTACTCTACCCATCTGTCGTTGCTATCATTCGTGGGTGCATAACATTGGATTATATTCATTGTGATCTCCTCCTTCTTTGTTTTGAATGATGCTTTGATGATTCTGGATCCGTGAGATTCCCATCCTACAAGTGCATTTTGTGCTACTTTAGACAGCATTAGAGCAACTTCCTGAGTGTGTGCAGTATTTTCCTTTTCATGACCAGAGTATAATAGCATCTCACCCGTATTTAGCCTTTGTTGTCCAGCTTGTGTCCAATGGGTTTCGCTGATTCCGAGTACTGCGAAATTGTATCTCCTCATTTCCGTTGCTATTTGACTGGTCTTCCAGGTTTCCCACATTGTTCGGACGTTCCATGTACCTATAAAAATTGTTGCTCTGGTAGTTAGAAGGGGCATCGGCCTCGTGGCTTCCGAAGGAACTCGGCTTTCACTATGAAGCGTCATAATTCTTCTAAGTGAAGACCTTCTAACTTCCAGGGCAGATTTTAAATGGGATGTGGACGCTAACCCCATGCCCAAGCCTCCTCCTTTACCCGGGCTTGGGACCGGCAGTAACTCTGGAAGAGCTACAGGAGGAGTTTTACCTACCATCGGTACCATATATTACATATAGTATATGAGTGTGACATCGTCAAGTAAATGATTCTGAATGCAAAATCGAAGTTACTTGTAAGTTTTTATAGGTTTTTAGTTTATATGTATGCTACATGTTCGGTCATTTTACAACTTAATATTTAGTCAGCATGCTTACAAATAATCAATTTCCTGTTATGAAATTTCGTAATTTTCTTTCCTCCATTTCAGACGTCGTTATTGTTAGTTACTTCCACTCATTTAATACATTCTTAATTGCCTGCACCCAAAAAAGTGTCTATATTACCCTTTCATTCAGAAGTGACACAAATAGTCATATATTGAGTTGAGGACTTAAACTAGATATCATTAAGACGTTTTACGCAGTCCAACTCATCACTATCAAAAAATCAAGGTCTATGTTTCACGAAACACACAAACAGCATGCTCACGATTGTCACATCCCATTCAGTCCATCAGTTTACATGTATGGGCCGAAATACATACATACGAGGAGCAGTCGTGATTTGCAAATAAGGCTGGATAAACACAAGCCCAAATAGCTACGAAGTCAAATGAATTACAGTAGTCAGATAAGATCACAGTATCGACAAATATTTTTCTCCTAGTGAAAAAAATTGATTGAGGCCGGTAATAAGATAAATATGAAATAGGGTTATTCAATATTATCCATGGGTGTCTAACAAGGTTTATGGAAACCTTGGTTATACTAGAACTGAAATTATCTTTATTTATTCCAAAACAATTTGTTCTTACCCTTAACCTACTCCAGTAATACTGAATAATTATCCAGCATGGTTTCTGCATTACGTACGTTATCATTATCTTTGTTTCCCCCACCTTTAGATTTTTGTGGTTGACATTTGGATTATATATATATATATATATATATATATATATATATATATATATATATTGCCTCAACAATTATGTGTGTGATCAGGTTTTTCGAAATGTATTTTGCACTTATGTCACATAATTCTGATAAAGTTCATTTTTTCATTGCATTTGTTTTACGTTACAATTAGAACAGTTATTTATTGTACAGGGTAACGGATTAAAAAATCCAAAATTAATGAGGTTATTTACTAACATAGAACTCTTTGAGTAGGAATTATTACATTTCAAGTTCTGTTTAAATCTATTAAACTACTAGAAATGTTATTGATATATTAAATCACAACAGGTTGTTTAATTGTAGTATTGTCATTCGACAAACCTATACATTTAGATGGTATATCTTAGAATCATTCATTATTTTCTTAGAATATTGATTAATATTATTGCTTTACTTGGTTAAATATTTATTATGCAATAGGCAACTATGTTATAATTCCCAGTAAAAATGCTTATATTTATATGATTTAATTAAACAAATATATTTTATTTAAGAAGATTAAGTGAACAGGTGTAGCTCTTTGTTTTAACATCAAAATAAATTGTTTTGTATTATAATAAATAATACTACATGTTAACTATTTTAACATGACTTTCTCTATTGGTTCAACTAAATATAACTTTTGTTAGAAATAGAAAACGTAGAATATTATTTAGTGTTTAACTATCATGTATTATGTACATATGGTATTCAATCCTATATCTCTTTGTTGTTTTATTGAATTTTTATTGGTGAAAATTACATTTTACTTACAATTACCTTATATATATGTCTAAGTTTATTCTTAAAAATGTGTATCTATTACAATGAAGATTAATTTTACAACATATTATCCATCTGTAATTAGAAAATTCAATTTTCATTTCGAAAGTTCATTTTCATAATGAATTCATGAAGATAGTATTATAAATTCAAGAAGCATTGTTGTCATGCTTTTAAACTTTTGTAAGGTATTGTTTCACAGCTATTATTATATTTATAAAACCATGTAGATATTTAATAAAGCATAAAATGTTAAGAATATGTAGTTGTTATGTTATATCTTATATCATCTACAAGACAAAATGTTTTAATTTTCATGTAAAATCAACCCATAACCTAATAGTATTATTGAAGCAATCCGGTTAGGATGGTAAGATACCAAGAAAGACTGATCATTTGAAGTCTATAATATCAAAAATAGTTCATTTTAAACTTTTACGAGAGATATTATTAGCTTATTTTGAATTTTACCTACTCATATATTTCGTTTGTTTTCAAGAAAACATGTGGAGTTTTACTAAAATCACCTTTCAGGATAAATATTTCCTGTTTTCATTTCAGTCAGTTAACTAAATTGATAATCAAAGTCTTTTGAATTTTAGAATTTCTTTTGCAAAAACGTTGAAACTAATAATTATTTCAGAAGGGGTTTTGTGGATATTATAGTAATTGACATCATAAGTCAATTGAAGTTAGACCACCGTGGAAAACCTGGAAGCACTGAACGGCCGTTTCGTCCTAGTTGGATGCCGGCCCAGTTGCCTAGACGTTAAATGTTCGCGCGCGAGACCGACAGATCCTGGGTTTAAATCTCGCAAGGCGGGATCGCGAATATGCACTGTTGAGGTGTCCCATACTAGAATGAAATGGCCGTCCAGTGCTCCCATGTTTTCTATGGTGGTCTAGCCTCAATCAACTTATGATCTTAACTATTAAAATAACTATTATTTATAATTTATTATTTTCTTTTATATAATTTATTTATTCAACCGCAAATTTTTATATCGTATAGACTTGAATACGAAAACCGTTTAATATCTTGTTTTTTTACTTTTTCAAAATTTACTTATTCGAAAAGTAACTGGAGAATTGTAGCGTATGCTAAATATGAAAAGAATAAAATAGGTCAATGGTTAACATCAACAACTCTTAAGTATAGTATTGATAATATCACATTCTGAAATTTACGGTTAACACATGAACGTATACAGTTATAGAGCAATGTTTCAGTCAATAAGCTTTGATTTTGTTTTTCAAATATTTATAATCTCTCAACATTTTATGTGCAAACTTAGTTGCAAAATCATTTAAATGAGCTATATTCTAACATTGCATAACTATTCATTATTGTACTGTAGAAGTTTTATAAAACATTTATTCCGTATTGAAAAATATTTTAAATCACGGTTGACAAAATATTATGTGATATTAGTCCATTTATTTGAACATATAAACATAGGTACAAGGAGGCACTAAATATATATGCGCCACACAATAACAGTGAAACCAGTAGTTATCATTGATCTGTGTGAGGGCTGTCATACTGCCCGGGTGCCCAGACCGAAGCAAGTGATTTCCTTATGGGGCCTCAACTGGGGCCTCTGACCTAAAGGTCCAATCCATAAGGCAGTGAAGCGACGTCAGGAGATAAAGTCCCATTGTAGTCGTTGACCAACGATTGGTTCTTACGCCATTCGTGCCTTCAGGGTCCTGGAGCTCATGTGCGCCATTGGTTTGGAGTCAGGGTTTTCCAACTCCCCTAGGTGGATCCACAGTATCCACTAACCCAGTTCAAGCTCCGGATATTCGTTTTTCGTCCTCTCAAAGCCTTAAAAAACACCCCGTCACGAGAAGGAAGTGAGTAGGACCTACCTGACAGTGAGTGTATACGCGTAGCCATGTGAGAGCAGACTATCCTAATCGTCATTTGTACCAGGGCATTTGAGAACAATAGTGTGGTTCGTCCCGAGTCCAATACTTTATCACTTATTATCATGAATCTGTTTTACTTGAAAAAAATTATTTCATCCGTTAAATCGTAAGGCATTCACCTACTGATAGTTAGCTGTTAGTGATTTAATTAACAATCACATATATAGTTTTACAAGTCTCATTACAACTAAAGATTCATTGTTTCTAGTAAACGGGTTGATAATTAAGATAATGTTAGATTATGATGATAGTTTGTAAAGTGTTTCCAGATTACATTTTATACAAAGATTTAAAACGAGTAAGTCAGAATAATCGGATTAATGGAAATCCATGATTGTACTTTACTTATAGTGCCACGTTTTTCCATAAAAGATAATCACGTTTTCTATTTCTTATTGAAAATCTACTTCTTTATTTTAGGTATTTGGAAAATCATTACAGCTGAGTAGAATTGAAGTAAATTATTCCACTAGCTTGGTGTTATTAAATAGAAAATATCCATCGTTCACTAACTGGATTGGTTGTGAATTCACATAATGAGCAGAACTAAATGAAATAATTCGTTTTACAAAAGTTTTGCATTCCCAATAAGAAGAAATGGTGATACAATCATATACTGGTGTATAAATCCCCGTGATATCTGCTCCAAATTACTGTGGTCGTATAAAATCTTTTAGATATCTGTAATATATTAAACCGAGAAATTCACCTTTATACACTCACCAGTACGAAAACTGGCAGTAATTATAAAGAAATATTGTACCGAACTTATTTACCCTTTTCATTCTCCAACTACCTCAATAGCGTTCGCAACGACTCATATAGTCATATACATAGTTGCTTTCGTCTACATCAGTCTTTCTATTCATGTTTTTAGAAAATAATATTTCACAATAATTCACTCAGATGGGAATGGTAACAAATCATTGTCTGTATTACAACACATTCATTCCAATGCATATTATATCTGATTAGAACATGAATTTCTTTAACACATACACAGTTATTTGTGTTGTAACGGACGGTGTCCGATAATGATACTACTCGCTAACCCCCAACTGATTACTTAAATAAGAAGACGAGAGTAAGTGAGAAAGTGTACTGGACTATCGAATAAAAATGCATAAATACTCATTTATATAAATACTACTCTATCTTTAGGAAATTGACATACTAACCCCAATGAAATGCACTTGACCTTTAGGTCACTTCTGATTGACATCGATTGACCGTTTATTAATTTAGATTGGCTCTCCATATCAATTTATGTACAGAAATAATTTAATTTTGAATTTTAATTGTAAACTATTTTATTATTTCAATGATTAGGTGTTCTGCTGAAACTTTTTCTCTTCTCTTTGATCAGTGTTTTTTTCTCTCTCTCTGTTTCTTATCCATGAAAACTATATATATATATATACTTTTTAAAAAAAAGTAGTATCTCTGTCAGTCGTACTATTCTTTACATTTTAGTTTACTGTTAAACATTTATTCCTTTATTTCTTTCTTTTATTTTTTTTGCAATTTTAATTTTGTTACAAAATAATGCAAAGTAAAATAGATACGACGAAATTATCGCATAATTCATTAAACATAATTCAAGATATTTAGATCAATTATCAATTTTAATTAGGATACTAATTAAAACTTGATCAATGAATATGAATGATAAATGCAAATGAAAAGAAAGTTAAATTATTGTTGTATTATATTATATTTAAAATATGATCTATTATGTAACATAGAAGACTAAATGAATTTTATTCGTCTGAAATATATAAAATTTTAAACATTCTTTCATGTTAATTGTAATGACCTACAAACAAATATTCATGTATATAGATATTTCTATTTGAGATCTTCATAAATTCTTTCATTCTTCTATATTCGTCTTTATATCGATAAGTTACTATCTTATAAATTATTATCTTTATATTTAATATATTAGTCAAATACTAATAAAGATGTATCATTCAATATTTTCACCTTATAATAACTGATATTTTACGGTTAAATATTGTTCATTAAAATATGAATCAAGTATAAATTCATATAATTATAAGATAAAAGTAATAATAATATCTGTTACATATTGTATAACAAATCAGATAAATCTATAAAATGTACCATCACCATCACCATTACTACTACTACTACCCCCTTAGATATTTTTTACAATAATCTATATAAATGAATAAAAGTTTAACAATTCAGTCTTTCCTTCTTGTTTAAATTCATATGAAAATTTTGTTTCTATCATAAATGATAAAGATAAATTTATTCATTGAATATCAGTCAATCATAATCAATATAGATCTTGGTTTAGCTCATATTACCTTTCTATATTATTATACATATCAATTGTGTGATATTTCAATGTAAATATTTTTTTATTTACTTCCAGTACATTCTTTGGCAAAAAAGTTAAATTATACTAGAATTATATACTTAAGTATAATCAAGATTTAAGTTATGTAGCATTTGAACAATTGAAATATGTAGTTTCAAATGATCAAACGTCAAGGTTCATTTGTGAAGAATAAAGTGTAAATTTAAGGATAATTTTTTTCAATGCAAGATTTATAATTCATAAAGAATGGTTATGAAAAAGAAATGTAATGACATCAAGTAAGGTATGATGGATAATGGCTAGCAGTAGAATCCAGGACTCGTGTTTCGTCCTATTTGGGACTCGTCAGCTGGATGTACCTGCATCCCAGAGTTGATGTTCCCTCTGGGACTCGAACCCAAATAGAACGAAACGCGCGTCCTGGATTCCACTGCTAGTCACTATCCATCATTGCTAACAAAAAGCTTGTGAATTAAGGCGATATCGAGGCATACGCACAGTATGCACATATGCCAATAACAGACTGATCAATCGCAGTCTTAAACCTCAATGGGAAGATACAAGCCAAAAAATACCAAGTGAATCAAGTAAGATAATTCAAAATGAATGTACCGAAATTGAATATATACTAAAAGTAAGAAATACGTCTATTTTTTGTTTGAAAATTGACAAGAAACAGCTTGACATATCAAATGATATGTTTGGTGATTCGTTACTTTGTCTATGGTTCACTTAAAAATTTCTTTTTGCTGTCAAGTTTTTTTAGTCAAAACACGAAGTAACCTTCATTTTCTCGTTACTCTACGTTATAGGTATATATCTGTTGGAAAAAAGCCCAAGTTTTTAACAATATAAACTACGTTGATCTATTCATTAAAGCTATGAATAACATCTGGAATGAATTTTGATTGAATATAATTTATTTTTATTTTTCATAATCTTAGAATATTGAATTTGTTTATTTTCCCGAATTTCCTGGTTAACAATTGCTGTAATATGTATTTTAGCATGGATGAAGTAGCATACATTAACATTGGTGGTTTAGAATTTAACTTTGGCGCATAATATATATATGCTTTTGGGTTACTTCACAAACTCGAGCAAAGCAGAAAGGGCGATATTTGCAGAATACGATGGATCCATTGTATTTCCTTTTTTTCTTTCCATCTATACATAAGCTAATATGATTGTCGTTTCTAAATATTAACGATAGTAATGACATCATTGATGCGCAGTCCTTTAGGATCTGTCCTTGATGATATATTTGTTGAAAACTTGGATTGAACAGAACTATTACCTATCGTCAAGGTGACTGTACTTGAATTTGTCAAGTGCACGTACATCGACAACGATTTCCGAGTAGATAGTGTTTAAAGTTTCACAGATTTTCCACTTGAAGCTATCAAAATGGGTTGATAAAAACTCTTTTACACATAGAAGGAAAGTCATATTCACCAGGAAAGCCCAAGCAGATGTATACTCTTCTTAATGATTGTCTGCCATAAAATCAACGCCCTAATCATTCGTAAGAAATGTAATATCGAACACCGAAATAGGATGTATGACTGTGAACCCAAAATACGAAAGCTATTACTCTTGTATTATTCAAAGATAGATAAATAGTGAATGAACTTCGTTAAAAATTGAGAACAGCTCTTAAAAACATACTCTTCACTGACACTTTGAATCCATTAGACACAATATTGCTCAATGACAAAGACAAAAGTAGATGAAACTACTCCAATTGCATATATCAATTATCAGATACTAGCCATCCCCTTCACTCTTATCTTTCTCCTTATATATCTTCTGGTAGAACGAGACGTAATTACATTAAAATCCATGCACGCAAGGAAAAGTACAAATTTTCTATAATACCTTATCTAGCAAATATACTTTGTGACGAACAGGTTGTTAGAGTTAGTCTAGCCAATAACCTGCATTCTTAACATGACTTTAATCTTAAATGTTGTACTGTTTTTCAGATATTTTTTTAAACTTGTTTTTTGTCTTTGTTACTATTTTTGTTTGCATAAGTAACTTGTTGAAATACCCTGTGCTGAGAATTCTATATTGTACCAAAGTATAATATTGAATAAAGCCATTAATAATAATAATAATAATAACATATATACAAAAAAGCATGAACATTAGAAAGACAATAAGGTGGACTTCTATTCATTTCAGTGATAATGTTTCAAATAACCTACGCCTTTGAAGAGGATTTTGTTTATGCAGTTCGGTAGCACCTCATCTCCTGGATATTGGGACAATATGCATTCAGCGAATTCTTTAAAATTTATCTATTGACAACTCGAATCCTCGTTACTTAATTTTCCAGAAGCCGTGACTACTAAATAACTTTAAACTTACATTCAAATTCAAAGAGTCAGAAGTTAACTGTAAGCTGCCTTGGTAACATTTTGAAATTTCTTTTCTCTATTTTGTTGTAGTCATAATCTAATGAGTCGGGATTACAATTTCTCTTTCCTTTCCCAACTTCCAAACATTTTGTTATATCAGATGATAAAATTATCACAATATTCTAGAACTACCATCTAATCAATTCTAAAAAGAACTCAGTTTTAGAAGTACATTACGCACAACTTATTTGTTGTTAATTAACAATTCACTTTTTAAGATTATGTTAATAATTAAAAATAATTAACCATATTAGATTGTATGAAGCTGAAGAGAAAGGACTGATGCACGATGAACTCATCATAATCTACAAACATGGTCGTCTCGAATTCATATATATATATATATATATATATATATATATATATATATATATATATATATATATATATATAAATAAGAATGGTGTTGAACTTATGTGTTCTTATTTTTCACTAATTCTGCGTAGCCGTCGAATCATGTGTAATGGATTAGACTTTTAAATTCCTAGGTGTAACTTCGAAGTGGGGTTCAACATCTTCAGATCAGATAGAAATAGGTTAGCATTAGTTATCACAAGGTATTTTAGGTATGACTCGAATACGTGAAAGTATGGTTGTCGATCGATGTATGTCACCATTAGCACCGTTTATCAACTCTGAAGAGTATCAATGTCTAACCAGAATAAAGTTATCAAATTCCGTTTTTAACTTTGGTACTGTAATTAAATGCGGATGTTTATTCATGTTTAATAAAAGATTTTAGCTCAAACAATAAATAGATACTGTTTGCGTCTAATGACAATTTGTATAGGCAAACGCTGAGAAAGTGACCACATTTTTAAATTATCACCAAGGGTAGTTCTACAGTGTTAACTAAAGCAGTTTGTTAGTTAAAGGAATATTCATTTCTCAGATCTTTACTGTTTCCTTGCTACTAAATAATATTTTGCACAATAAACGTAGTAATCATGCAGGACTATAAAATTAAATTGTTTCTTTGAACTACTGTTTCACTATTTTACAAGGATACAATAAATCAAGAAACAAACCATTGCAATTTACCAAATTACACTTAAATTCATTATTAATTAGAATAAGACGACATATATGAAAAATACCCAAAGTCATGACAAATCACATAATGAATGTCATGCTGAACATACTTCACGTTTAATTTAATACAACAATATGGAATCTTGTATAAAGATAACACTCAAGTAAATTAATATTATGCAGAATAAAATATCACACTGAAAAAGTGAACAAATATTACTCTAAATAATTATCACACTGAAATCCCGTCATATCAATACCTTCATCAATTCATATAGAATTCAGTTATATATATGGAAATATTAGTGTTATATGAACACTCTAAGTGTACTTTTTAACATATGAGGTTTTGAAGGTTGTTGAATTTTGCAGATTAACGTCACTTTTAAGTAGCTTTTGAATACCAATATACATATCAAATAACCGGTTCATCCTAGCATTGGACTTCCAGCAGTACTTATTTGTGAAACAACCATCACTTAAACTCACATTTTTCAGGCTTTCCAGCGAGCAATTAGTTATCAGGCTGTTGAATAATAAATTAACAGTTTTAAGGTTGGGTGCTTACAAAAAGACCTAAAGTTTATGAGTTAAATCCCTCATGAGGTCGTTGATAAATACTGTCAGGAAGTTCAGTACTACGAAAAAACATTTATCTATTACTTATTTGGAACAACGTATGCAGGGTTCAGATAAAACGATGGATTTTTGAATTACCGACGGACAGATTGTTTCGAAATGTGGTAGATTTTCAACCATTCAGACAAATTTATATTTCAATAATTGAGATCATTAGTTACTTGAAGATAGATCATCATGAAAAGACCTGCAAACACTGGACGACCATTTCAACCTATTGTGTGACTCCTCAATACTGCGCATCCATGATCCCATCTCCCAAGATTCCGACCCAAGTCCTACCAGTTTCGCACGTGAGCATTAACTAATAGATCACTGAGCTGGCCGATATTGAACAGTGTTAATATCTAACTTCAACTGATTCAAGAAATTGAGCGATACATCCACCATTCTCTTCAGTGATTCATTATCTCTCAACAGATCTGGTTGAACTCCACTGATCACTGCTTCTTACTAAAACTCCAGGAAATACTTCTTGAAGCCAGTCATTAGTGAGTATACGTTGATTTGTATCATAAGGGGGTATATCGAAATAGGTCGATTTTTAACTGTTCAGACAAATTTATATTTTTCAAGATTATTTACTGTATTTTGGTTAAATTTCTCTTTTGATTTTCTACTAGTACATAAATACATTTATTAGAGTGTATATTTGTTAGACCATAAACTAAGTGGTTTCAACACTTAAAGCATAAATATTCATATAATTGCTTGTTATATTTATACTATTTTTAGGCCTAAAATAAGATAGCTAAATTAAGAAGAAGAAGAAGAAGAGGATTTCGCAAGGAAAAAGTCACATACACAAATCTTTTACTTTTAAGAAAAACTGACCAAATATAACTACAGATACTCTTTGAAACTGATAGAATTATGTAAATATATCCACAATAAATTTAAAAATGTATGTTTGATTAGATAATACAATCAATTGTCTGAGTAAACAGTTTCATTTTATGAA